TGTTAACGATCAAATCCTAAGAAATATGTCCTTCAACACGTCATATGTCATTGGATCTAATGCAATCATACACATAAATAAACAAAAATTTCCTGTTTCTCCATCCCTTTAAAAAGCTAAGCGCATACTAACACCAAAATCATAGCTAAAAACGCATTTTCAGTCAAGGGTCAGTGAATCGAAGATGAACGATACTTGTATTAATTAAGAATAAATTGTTGTCCGCTGCACAATCTGGATTTAGAGCAAAGGATAGTACAACCTACCTTTTCTTAAATGTTATTAATCAGATAAATACTGGCGTGAAAGAAGATAAGTTTGTCCCAAGTGTCTTACTGGATTTTAAAAAAGCATTTGATAATGTAAATCATGAATGTTTATTATTGAAGCTGTATAAAAAAGGAGTAAGGGGTCAAGCACTACTATGGATTTTCAATTGCATTAGAAAAGGTTCAATCAAAGCCATCAGACTTTTATAAGAGTGAAACAAATGATATGTACTTAGTTACTAAACATACATTATTGTTATTTTTAATTCAACGAAAAACAGCTTTCTCTGTATATGGTAGATTTTTTCAACTTCACTTCTCAACTCATTGTCTCATTTTTAAAAAAATATGTCTACAGCAGCATCTACATCAGTATCATGTACTACTAAACAAAAGCCTCGTCTTGAACTCCAAGGTTTTTCGTATATAAAAGATCGATTTACTGAAAATAAAACATATTGGCGTTGTATATATTATTACGTTCTGATACTGGACCAGGTAATACCACCATACAATTATGTCTAAGAATTTTTCATTTCATTAATAGAATTGTTGTCTAAATAATTAATTTTCCTTTTCAACAGGACCAGATCGGATGTTAATATTTGCCAGTTCTGAACAATTAGATATTTTACAATCATGTGATGATTTTCTTGTCGATGGTACATTTAAAGTATGTATAGAAGTACATATTTCTTGGGTTTCGGCGGAAATTTCAGTTGAGTGAAGTAAAAGTAAATATTCCTATGTTTAGGTTGTTCCTGAGATCTTTTATCAATTATATGTTGTACATGCCATCTATCGTGGACATGTTGTACCAGTTATCTATTCATTACTCAGTCGTAAAAATAGTGATACATATCAACGTCTTATAAATGAAATAGTAGAATTTGCTCCATGCTGGTTTCCTGGTTCTATTTTACTTGATTTCGAAAAGGCATGTATTAATGTATATGACAGTAGTTTTGTTAATATATCATTATCTGGTTGTTATTTCCATTTTCGTCAAAATCTTCATCGACAACTTCAGGTAACATTGAAGTAATTTAGTGTAAAAATACGAATAAAATAGAATATGTTCTCTCTTCAATATATAACTTGTTTGTTTTTTGTATATTAGGCATTAGGTTATCAGAATCGTTATCAAGAAGATATTAAATTTGCTCATAATATTAATAAAATAGCTGCGTTAGCTTTTATTCCACCTTGTGATGTATTACAAGCATATTCACGTCTTGCATTAGATCTTGATGATGATTACCAAGATATTTTAAATTATTTTGAAGATACATACAAAAATTTAATGGATAAACTGTAAATTTGTGCTCATGTTTCCTAGTGCTCAACTTTCTCGTGCTCAAGTTTCCTCCTGCTCACCTTTCCTCGTGCCCAATTTTCCTAGTGCCCATATTCCCTAGTGCTCATCTTTCCGTGCTCAAGTTTCTTCGTGCTCATCTTTCACCCACCCCACGAGAACATGAAAGAAGAAAGAAAAAAAGGAAGTAGTAGTAGTAGTAATACCCATTACCTTTCGGTGTAGGGTGAAACAAACAAAAAAATGCACAAAAAAAATAGACACAACACTCAATTTCCTTCAGAGTTTTAGCGTTCGTTCAAAGTGATTATTGCAATGGTAATATATCAAAAAATCAACCTCCAAA